TCAATATCCAATAATATATTGCTTGTGTGTTGTTTAACGTCCCTCTCGAGATTTATCACCTTAATGGAAAATTTATTTTGTCGAATTTGTAAAGAGCCATAGTGCATTTGATAGTCATTTTCGCCTACTCTAGTAGTGATTTTTTTAAATACATTGTTTAACCAAAATTTTTTATACAATGTTAGTTTATACATGCCTTAAAGTAAATCACACAAAAATAATATTTAAATATTAATAGTTCCTTCATATGATAGATATAAAAATCGTTCAGTTTATATGGAGAATATAGTAAATACTGAGGTATCCCTCTAAACAATGACAAACTAGCAAGTAGCAAAAGACCACCACTTCTGAATAATTTTATTTGGATATGCATTTCATTACATTTAGATAATTTTGGTTAAAAGTGGTCTTCATATTGAAAATTTTGAAAATATGTATTTAATTTTTCTTCTCAACAATTTTTTTAGATTCAACAATCTGTCTTAAATTTTGCCATACGTTTACAATGACTTCGTGGCGTAGTTGTATGATTGCTGGATTGTAGACATAATGTTCGTGAGTTTGAGTCTCACAGTGTGTGTTTCTTATCTATGCCTTTATTTTGTTTCTCTCGGTGCATTTTTCCAATGTTTTCTTTTTTAATTTTATAATACATGTATAGATAATATAAGAGATATATACAGCATTACGCCTTGAAAGTATCTCGGGAAAAAAACAGTCCTAAACTATTTTAATGACCCAAAGCCATAGCCACTAGCTTTTTTTTTTTTTTAAATTTTCTAAAAATCTTGTTTAGAATAAGAGTATTGAACAAGTAAAATGATTGTCATGTAACAAACTTGCAACTATGAAAATATAACACTGGCCCACAAACGATTACATACATGTAGTTTGATCTTGAATTGAAGGTACATGTTCAGAAAGGCAGCTATGGCTCTTTCTATTCAAGATTAAATGTTATAAGATATCAAAGTGAAATCCAAAAAAGTTTTACATGAGATTTGTATAAGCATTACATTTGAATATACAAATAATAACTAAACAAGAGGCCCAGGGGCCACATCGCTCACCTGAGCAATTTGCTAAGAGAAAGCACATATCAGATCAGAACTGAAAGTTTACTAAGTTTGGGGGGGGGCTTGAATTTTAACCCCCCAGGGGGTCATGGCTGGAACAAACTAGAATCTACACTACCTGAGGATGATTCCATATAAATATCACTAAGCATGAATTTGGTGTACTTGAAAAGAGGATTTTAAAAGGTTTCCCTATATATTTCAATGTAAAACTTTGATCGGCCATTTTGGCCCCACCCTTGCCCCAGGGGTCATGATTTGAACAAACTTGAAACAACACTACCTGAGGATAATTTCACATGAGTTTCATCTTTCCTGGCCCAGTGGTTCTTGAGAAGAAGATTTTTAAAGAATTTTCCTATATATTCCTATGTAAAACTTTGATCGGCCATTTTGGCCACACCCTTGCCCCCGGGGTCATGATTTGAACAAACTTGAATCTACTCTACCTGAGGATGATTCCATACGAGTTTCATCTTTCCAGGCCCAGTGGTTCTTGAGAAGAAGATTTTTAAAGAATTTTCCTATATATTCCTATGTAAAAATTTGATCGGCCATTTTGGCCCCGCCCTACCCCTGGGGGTCATGATTTGAACAAACTTAAATCTACACTACCTGAGGATGATTCCACATGAGTTTCATCTTTCCTGGCCCAGTGGTTCTTGAGAAGAAGATTTTTAAAGAATTTTCCTATATATTCCTATGTAAAACTTTGATCAGCCATTTTGGCCCCGCCCTACCCCCGGGGGTCATGATTTGAACAAACTTGAATCTACACTACCTGAGGATGATTCCACATGAGTTTCATCTTTCCTGGCCCAGTGGTTATTAAGAAGAAGATTTTTAAAAGAATTTTCCTATATCTTCCTATGTAAAACTTTGATCGGCCATTTTGGCCCCGCCCTACCCCCGGGGGTCATGATTTGAACAAACTTGAATCTACACTTCCTGAGGATGATTCCACATGAGTTTCATCTTTCCTGGCCCAGTGGTTATTAAGAAGAAATTTTTTTAAAGAATTTTCCTATATATTCCTATGTAAAACTTTGATCGGCCATTTTGGCCCCGCCCTACCCCCGGGGGTCATGATTTGAACAAACTTGAATTTACACTACCTGAGGATGATTCCACACGAGTTTGATCTTTTCTGGCCCAGTGGTTCTTGAGAAGAAGATTTTTTAAAAATGCCATTAATTTTTCTCTAATTCATAATTATCTCCCCTTGGAAAAGGGCGTGGCCCTTCATTTGAACAAACTTGAATCCCCTTCACCCAAGGATACTTTGTAGCAAGTTTGGTTGAAATTGGCCCAGTGGTTCTTGAGAAGAAGAAGAAAATGTGAAAGTTTACAACGACGACAACGACAACAACGACGACAACGACGACAACAGACAACGGACAAATTTTGATCAGAAAAGCTCACTTGAGCCTTTGGCTCAGGTGAGCTAAAAATGAGAAGTGAGGGATGGATTTCATGCACAATCTGAAAATAAACTCTAGTAGGAAAGGGTTCAAATAATGAAAAAAAAATTGAATAACTTCCAAAAATGAAATCACAAAATCTGAGGGGTGAACGATTCGTTAAAAAAGGACACTCAAATACCTTAGTATTGAGCTTTAAAATATTTCATCTATTTTTCCATAAAAGCCTACATTAGTATTGAAAAATGATTATCAAGAACCAGTCAATTAAATGACCATATGGAGAAGAATATTCAATATCAAAGTCCATAAAACAATACAAAATAGGAGCAGGACAAACACGGACCTCTAAAACATCAGAGGTAGGATCAGGTGCCATGGAGGAGTGAGCATCCCCTGTCGACTGGTCACACCCGCCGTGTGCTACTTGGCATGATAGGTAAATAACGGAATTCAATTTAGTGTATAAATAATGAATTATCAGTAAGTATGAAAAAAGTCAGTCAGCATTTGAGTCAAAGATAAATTGTATTTGCTGTTATTGTATCGACCAAAGAACTTACAAAATGATGGCTTTAAATGAGACTGCTGATATTCTTGATTCAACTTGTTTGTCAATAATTTACCTCCTTTTGAAATTGCTCATACGTAGAGACTGCTCTTGCGTATGGAATCAACTGAGGTACATAAACTCCATATGTGGGTGATGAAATTACCGGTATATTGTTGCATAAGTAAGGGAAGTTAAAGTCATCCTGTTCATCATAGAGCCTGTTTGTTAAAATATCCAAATATAAAACAGATGTTTCAGACTCTATGACAAGTACATTGAAAGAAGTGTTCTTTCCAATAAATTAAAGCGAAGATCATTACGTTTCTATCGTCAAAGACAATAAAAGTATTATTTGTATAATGAATTCCAGCTTTGTTTCAAATCATCAAGTTTTTCATTCCAAAAACAGTTGATTATCAATGTTGATTAAAGAAATGAGATAGTGCTTTCATATTATGCCTGTGTATTACTCGTGAGCAGTTCTTTCTAAGTAAACTGAGTTTTGATCTCGGGGCCTTAAGCTTGAAGTTTGACCTTCTTTTTAAGCGTTCTTCATAACTTTTGATTGAGAAGAGATGGGGCTTTCACATTTGAAATATGCATTACCTATGCCAAGGTATTTCCGAACAAACTATGATTTCTGACCCATGACCTTGTTTTGCACGATTGACCTAATTTACAAAATTTCATCTTTGGTAGTAAATTTTGAATGACATATGATAGTTTGCTCTAATTTCACTGTATCGATCATAGAACTAAGTCGTAGGAAATGATGGCTTAAAACGAGACTGCTGACATATCTGTAATATAGAATAGGAGCAGAGCAAACACGGACCGCCAAAACATAAGAGGTGGGGTTGGTGTTAAGGAGAAAATAATTTATCGACACAACCATAAATGCCACGATTGTCTTAATTTTATTAAATCTAAGTAATCACCGTCAAAACTGTTCTCGCCGAGAGAAAACTCTAACTGTCCTATGCTAATCTCAGGTAATCACAGATTCATCGATGGGTTTAATCCGTTACATGTGTTTTACTAGTGACCATGGTTCGGATTCTGTTCAAATTTTGATAAAAGCATTACGTTCTCCGACTCCCCATGCAGGAATGAAATTTACTAATAACTAAAGGTATAATCTCGAGCTTTGTCACTAAAACACTATGTTACTAATATTACCAGTTGACACCATACGATACAGTTAGTAAAGTAATAGCAGAAACAGGCTGATGAAAATTAGGCGCAGTTCTGTAAATATTTATTGTGTGAGTACAGCATATATATTTTATAATTACTTAATCCTGTGTTATCTGCACATGGCATGAAAAACAGGTAATTGGTGGTGGTAGTTGTTTTTGAAGAAGTTTATTAGGTGTGCATGGCTTTGAAAAGAGATTTACTCAACCCAAATGGATATAATTTTTGAAAGCCGCCATGTTAAATGGTATCTAAACATTTTAAATTTCACATTAAATTACCATGCATTAAAAATTACATTCAATCGGTTGAAAACAATTCAGCAATTCCGAATAATACCCGTGCACCTGACAAACTAAACTTAAAAAAAAAACAACATTTGACTTTTTCTCTTTTTAAACCCTCTTTAGAAAACTCATCTTAAGATCAAATTATTATTGTTAACTTCAGATATTTTACACCGGCTCTTAGTTTATTATTTTTAAGGTCTTAACGGCTACAGACTAATCTGAACATACACACACACACACATTTTGTAAATTGTAGATTTATGGCAACAATTGGTGGAAAGGTTGCTTAGATGGAAAGACTAATGTTCTTCAATTATTCCTATATAAAAGGTTCTTGTCATTATGATTGTTTTTAGAGTTAGAAGCTCCTATAAAAAATCTAGGATATTGAACATCCAGGTATGATAAGGATTCTCTGTTTTATCCTTTAATTCCCGATGATTCTATGAAAAATTAACAACGAAACTTGTTTCATAGCAAACTTTTATTGAGTAAATGATTTTAAATGAAATTTGAAGAAGCTAATTACACAAAAAATGTTTAGATACATAATTGAAAAATAGTTGAGAAAAGAAAATAATGTGTCTATCCATTTGAGAGTTTGACATAGTACTCCAGTATTAGTATATCAGAGTAAAGTCTGGAATATTGTTGTTTTATATGTTGATATATAAGCTTCTGGCAATGTTGCAAGATTCAAAATCTCATTCTCGTCTTAATTAACATCTAATTCTTCTGACAGTGCTTGTGCGTCTAAATCCATTACGTGAACGTCTTAAACCTCGGCGACCGAAAATTCGTGCAATACCCCGGAATAATGCACCAATCCCTCTCTTTTTGCGCCCATTAGAGCCACCACACCTGGCCCAATAGGTCCGCTGGCCTCCTTGAATTTGTTCCTGTCCATTTCGCCAGTTGTTGATTGCGTGGCTATGTCCCCTATCTGGGCCTCCATGACGGCTAGCCCGGGCGACCCGATCATCTACAATCTGCTGAACTCGTCTTAACTGAGCATCCACATTTTGACCTATGTAAAATTTTTAAAATTCATTGAAAATTACAAAACATATCGATATAATCGGTACACAGGCACGTAGCAACAGGGGGGCCAGGGGGTGCCTGGCCCCAACTTTTTCCTCAACCATACTTTTACTATTGGAAATGTTCATTTAAAGTCTGGTTGCATCCCCCCGCCCACCTTATAGTACAGGAAATTGATATCAGGGAAATGTGGTATGGAATGGGAAAAAATTGGTACCAGAAAAAGTTGTCATTGGAAAAAATGTTGCATCTACTCAACCCCCTCCCGACATACAATTTTCGAGTTTGGGCAGTCTCTCTCTCTCTCTCTCTCTCTCTCTTTTTGCCTGTCAACTTTTTCAAGTCAAAACATTTTTCTCGGACTGCCCCCCCCCCCCCCTACGTTAAAAAACGATGCTACGTGGCTGGTACACACACTAATTGGGTTGATATTTTGCACAACTATATACATTATATGAGGTTCTATTGATATGGCGTTTTTCTAGTTCCCAATTTCTAGTTCTATTTCTGTTATAGGTGAACAGAATGAATTTCATGATTCTATTACGTTACACTATAAGGTATTCCTTTCTGTAGATTAGGTGTTGGTAAAAAAAGCTTGTGTTTGCCTGTACCCTAGATTTTAATATAGATAAAAATGCACCCTAAATCAAAGTCCCTTGGATAATTATTAAAACATAGTATTTGAAGCAACATTTATTTTCATTTAGGTTTAAAATTTTTTATCTTATTTCCATACTATCAATTATTAAATTGATTATATAAATTATTTAAAGTTTACATCATACACACCGCTTTCTGCTTGGACTTTGTAATAATTTGTAGACTTTCGAATGGCGTCAGTGTATGAAGTCGATCCATCGCCCAGCGAAGCCCAGTTTGTTATTCTACCATCTGATGTTCTAGCGTTAATGTAGTTTTGGAGAAGTCCTTTATCTTGGAAATACTGCCGGAAGTATTGATCCTCAGCCCCAAAAAGACCCCTTTTATATCGATGTCTACAACAGAAGATTCTTACAACTTTACGGATAGCAATCATGAATTGCTTTACAATTTGCGAAATGGATTCATTACTCAGGATATCAAAGATTGGTAATACCTAGCTAGGATCTACGAGTATTATATATAATATTATATAATATATCATATGAAATATTACATTATATTATATAAAACATTACATTACGAATGAAAAGAAAATTGAATTAAATAATCCACAAAAATATATTTAGCATTTTGAAGTTTTCTCACAAGAATTACATCAAAAACGAAAAAATTACATGCAGAAAAAGTAAAATGATAATAACACATACCTAACTTTTCTGCGTATCTTTAACTGTTTAATACTATATTTTATAGTGATAATTTTTATATTATCATTAATCAAAATAAATAATTGGACTGTCATATTGATATTACTATTTTCTTTTAAATTTCATTTATTTTTTATTTACTGTTATTCATTTTCGGAAGCTAAATAATTTTTTTAATATATGTTTTACGCACACTCATATTTGGGAGCAGTTCATGTAACAACTTTTCTAAAATTATAAAATAAAAACAAATTGAAGCATGTTAACGAATTTTCAATTTAGCATAAGGTTTTTTTTTAATATCTTTTATTTATTACAAATAAGTATTTTTTCAATAAAGAATTTTTTTTATCAAAACAATAAAAACATTTCCCCGTGTGCACAATGTAACACAACAAAACTACAAATAGATCTGCTGCTGCTGAGGCCGACAACAATGAATTATGATCGTTTGAAAAAAAAGGATCTTACGACATTGAAACATACATAAAACCACTCCCCTCTATAACTATGACTGTATATGAATGTTGAAAGAACTTGACAAGTTACATGTACTGTTTTTGATGTGTTTAAATAGCTGAAAATATAATTACTGGCCATCTTCATAAACAAATCAGGTTATTTAATTTCATAAATGTCAAGGCTCAGATGCCATTTAACTCTTCAAAAAGAACTATGTCCTTTTTTAATACACGTAATGTTGATAGATATGTGAGCAACCAATAACCAATAATTGCTTAAATAATTTGATTTTGTTTAATTCTGTTTAACTACGGTATTGTCCAAGTCTATATATCGACGCTATCCTTACTAGTGACGCAATCACATTATTTTGACATAATTTCAAAAAACTAACAGAATTTCTCCCCAGAACAAGTGATTGCAGAAAGTATCGCCAAAACTACTCGGATATGAATTCTCATCCAAAAGACATATGGAAATACATGTTTACATCCTACAGTCACGTGTTGCAATCAAAGCAAGCAATGTGCAACGTTTCAATCCGAAGGAAATTGATATTCTTTAGCAGGCTATGAATTTTTTTCTATGCATACAGGGTTTATCTCTCATTTAATCTGATAAGCAAAAGCATGCTCTACGTATGAACAATTTCTGAAATGAGGTAAATTATTGACAAACAAGTTGATGAAATAAGAATGTCTCGTTTAAAGTCATCACTACGTAAGTTCTTTGGTCGATGAAAGATATGGGGATAACGAAGAGTATTCAATATCAAAGTCCAAAAAACAATACAAAATAGGAGCAGAGCCAACACGGACCTCCAAAACATCAGAGGTGGGATCAAGTGTCATGACCTTGTCATCAAATAAAATTTATCATTGAGTCCAATGCTGATTGACGTTTATCATACTAATTGTTAGGCCATTATTTACACACAGAATTGTCGATGTTTTTTCCCGTAATTTCTCGATGCATGACTAGGAGTACACGGTGGGTGTGGCTTGTCAGCAGGGGATGCTCGATCACTCTTCCGTGGTACCTGATCCCACCTGAGATATTTTGGTGATCCATGTTTGCTCCGGTCATATTTTGTATTGTTTTATGGAATTTTGATCTAAAATTATGTTCCTGTCTCCATACATTTCACTTATGAATTTATTTTGGTCCTCACCTTTCAATACCGCTGTGATTTGAATTATCAGATTGTGTGACAGAGTCAGCTTTCTCTGCTTCTTTGTTATCTAAAAAAAAAATGTAAAAAAGTCATTTCGAATTATTTGAAATCGCGATATCTTTTTTAACAGAGACATGTATTTATCAGGAGAAAAGGAATATGATTACTGCAATGAAGCCATGGAGCTTTAATTAAGTATTTTCTAATATAGTTTATAAAGTGCAAAGAACGTTGAAAGAAGATAATTTTCCCATGTAAGTGCCCTAACTTTTCCAGATATTTGAATCACGATTATTTTATTGAGAAATTGTATATACGTGGGAATTCATAAAAATTAAAGTCTAATAGTATAAACCAATATTTTACAACAGAATTAAACAAAAACCAAAATTAGTGAATAAAAAAAATTATACAAACAAAAAAATATGAAACTAAATAAAAAAACGGAAATACAAAATCAGAAACAAAAATATTAAATTATTTAAGAACCAAAAAAAATTACAAAATATATTTTTAGATATTACCTGCATTTCCTATAAAGAAGATAACAAGTAAAATACACGCTTTTGAAGGCATTTTCTAAAATTCAAAATAAAATAATTATTAGAATAATTAGAATTAGAAGCCGGTATCGGCACTGGTTTAGCTTTAATATAATTATCTTTGTTGATATAGAATTCTAGGATATGCATAGAAACAAGCATGTTGAAACAATTGCTTTAAAAGAAAAATATATAAATGCCTTACCTTACATTAAGGTGTTGACAACCTTGCGCTTAAGTATTCAGAATAAATTTGGTTCTTTCTCTTTTGCTTTAAAAGAAAGCTCTAGGGAAGAAATAAATGTTGGGATTTCCACTTTGGTGCGATTAATGAGTAGGAAATTTTGGATGACAAAGAGCTTAATACACTTTAGATTGTACGTCAGAAAATAGAAATACTTGTGAACACTTTGAATTCTTTAATCTCCTCCAAATCTCTCTCTTTCTTTCTTTCTCTTTAACACACTCACCCTTATACACCCTCCCATACACCTTAAAAACGCCCCCAAACATCCCAGCATTCGCAGTAATATTAACAAATAAATGACCAAAAACAAAACAATAACCTGTGAAAGATGCTTTATTTAAACACTCTGCACTGATATAAATTAAGTCTTTCCAGTTTGATTTTCATGTGCAATAACGCTATTCTCACTTTAAAAGGTCGATTCTGTCACTGGTGAAATAAGTAACATCAGGGATTTTTAGGGAAGTATATTTAGATAAGTTCTCATACAGCATATTACAAAATCGCAAGGAAAGGACAAGATAGGGTAAGACCATTATTTGGCCCCCTATTTTGGGTGTCTTTCAGAATGATCCAACAGGTTATCCATGAAAACCTGTTTTCAGCCCTGCCACAAAATGATTGTTAGTTTTAAGATTTAAAATATACAGGGGTCACAGTGAGCTCTGGAAATAGGTCAGTTTTTGGAATTTCTCATTTTTATGCAAATTTTCATTAATTTTACAGCATATTTTCTTTCGGAAAACATAGAGCACACGCTTGCCTATCTACCAAATTTATATATTTTATACTCTGATATCAGATGCAGTATATGTGTAAAAATCTCAGATAGGCAAGCGTGTGCTCTATGTTTTCCGAAGAGAAATGTATCCCAAATATGATGAAATTCCACCAAAATTGAGGAAATTCGGAAAAACGTCCTATTTCTGCACCCTCTAGTGGCTTCCATGTAAGCTTTGAATCAAAATTAGTGCCTGCCTTAAAGTAAGCATCATTTCAACTTTTTAACTACAAACTATAACAATCTTACCTGTGTTCTGATTTTTATATCAAATAGGGAGCCAGATTCGGCTCTTACCCTATCTTGTACATTGCGGTCTGTGTGCATCTTACTGAGCTAAGGAGGAATTAGATTGACCTTTTTTTTTTAAATTTAACAATTATTTTTCTAATCTTGCTTCCTTGTGTATTTGTGAGCAATTTTTAAAAACTGAATGTAAAGAAAATTTCAATTGTAACAAATACATTTGACGCTTAATGATATGACACAAAATTTTCTGAAGAGCTGACGATTGACAACATAAAGGGAGAAAAGGAATTTTACCTTTCTTCGACCGTCTTTATTAATCTTTACATTATTTTGTCACTACACATTTAATTATTCTCAGATTTTGAAAAATTATATTTTTTTTTATCTAAACGGTTAGACATTCATTGTATACGAAAGCCTATTAGGATCAATCTATAGAATAAAAAAGGCGTTATTACGCCTTTCCAATTTAAAAGGCGTTATTACGCCTTTCCAATTTAAAAGGCGTTATTACGCCTTTCCAAAAGGCGTTATTACGTCTTTCTAAAAGGCGTTAGAACGCCTTTCCAAAAGGCGTTATTACGCCTTTCCATTCTAAAAGCGTTATTATGCCTTTCCAAAAGGGTCATTACGCTTTTTGAATAAGAATTATTTTGCATTCAACAGGCTCGTGCTTTTAATAGCCCCCCCCCCCCCCCCTCTACTGGCCAAACTCGTGGAGGGACTTCTTGGTAAAACTTTATTCAAATGTAATAATTTGCCACAGTTTTACATACTGCAAGAAAATGTTCAGGAACCAAGCAACCAATAGTTAATTATGAAATTTAAACTCTAGCAAGACTTTTCCCCAAAAAAGTATGTCTGTGTGGAGGGGGGTACCCCATTCGCACTCGTACTAATGGCCTACTTGAAAAGGAAAATGGAAAGGCGTTATTTTATGTTAATAAATATATGAAAGATTTAATTCAAACCATCGTTATTTATGCAATTCTATATATTCCTGCACATCTCACTGACAACTGTTTGCATTCGTATTAAGAGAAGGTAACACTCTACTTGCGAAGATCTAGGATATAGGCAGATGTATCTTGGAGCTTAGCTTGCCATGTATTAAAATTCATGTCATTTGAAGATGTTTTTCTCTCTTGGAAAAAAAAAGCCGGCAAACTATTTGCATGGGTATAATGAGCAATGACCTTTGGTAGAGGTGTGCAGTGTATATAAATAAAGATTGACTCGGTTCAACATTGAAAATATATAACGCATTTAAAAATCTCTTTTTCCTAGAAATCTAATTGCTATCTGTTTAAATTATTTTTTGAGAATTAAATTAGTTCTATATCTAATTGTGAAATTCATGTCCAAAAGGTAAGATTTCTATCTACACCCCCCCCCCTTTCGTTTTGGCTAAATATGTTTAGTCATGTATTGAAAATAAAAGGCGTAATAACACCTTTTGGAAAGGAGTTATAACGCCTTTTAAAAAGGCGTAATAACGCCTTTTGGAAAGGCGTAAGAACGCCTTTAAAAAGGCGTAATAACGCCTTTTATAATGGAAAGGCGTAATAACGCCTTTTGGAATTGAAAGGCGTAATAACGCCTTTTTCGCGTTATTACGCCTTTTCGAAAGGCGTTATAACGCCTTTTTATTTATTATAGATTGATCCTAATAGGCTTTCGTAATTATACATATGTTTACATGATTCAAGAATTTATTTTAAAAAAAGATTTTGATAATGGTGACGTAACCTGTTCTTAATTAAAAAATAGTTTCAGTAAAAGCATCCTCTTATATATCAAGAGATACACATGTATAAACATGTGCATACGTACGTGATAACGAATTATTACTACATGTATGTAAGGGGCGTTGACGATATATACATTACATTATTCTGTTTGTCATGTACATAGCTTTGTTTATGACACTTTTATTTTGAAATACACCTTAAAACCCATTTATACCTCTATATAAATTATTTTTCCTTTTTTTTACTCTTTTAGAATGTTTTCATTTCTATCTTGTGATTAATTAATACAACAGACTGACCTTTAATCAGTCATGAACGACTGTTTGCCCTAACATGTTTACCAAATAGTTTTTTAATTAACAACTGAAAGTGAAAGCAAATATATAGTAACGCTCAAGGAGTCGTTCAGGTAAAAAATTCAACCACATGTATCCATTCTTGTCTTAAGAGCTTAATTCATCTATTATATTTTTATTTTGATGCCTTTGCTGACTCTTTTTACCTGGATAACCTTGCACCTGAAACACATTTGTGTTAAATGTTACACAAGCACAATATTCTACGCCTACAATTCTTAACGTTCCAGTTTAAGTTTCGCGTTTAATAATGCTTACCTTAACTGTCGATTCTGTCACTTGTGAAATGAGTTACATCAGGTATTTTTAGAAATATTACATTCATCATACTGATAGTTTTTTTTTCTATATTATATTTTTTTATAAATTGATTATTGAACAAGGTTCAAGGTTCTGATTAAATTTTTCCAAAAAGCTGAATTGACATAACTTTATGGGGCTAAATAATTACTGTAATTTCATATTTCAGATACATGTGTGACTTGAAATCTTATTAGTTGCTGATAAAATACAAATTGACAAAAACACACAATAATTATTGATGTGAAAAAATTACACAAGGAATACAAATCTGTGAAGAGTACATAAACAAGGACCCCCAGAAAATCTAGAGGTGGGATTAGGGGTCTAGGCAGGTAAAGAATCTTTAAAACCGACCTTACCTTCCTTGAGTTATTTATGAATCGATCATTTTGAACTAACAATTGTTCTCATACAGGCCAGCCAATATACAATCACATGAAAGGTTATGTTTACTACGAGGCTCATTAAAACGACCATGGAATTTAGGTAGTACTTCCGTCAAACGATCGATGATATGGAAATCCCAGTAACATAAACTTAGTTGTGCGTTGCCTTCCTCGGCTTAAAATTTTGCCATAATAAAGTTAATTCTCCAATTAAACCTGCAAAAAAATATTGAATTGAATTTATCTGTTGTAATTTAAAAACATTAAAATCAAAACACCAATCGATAAAACATATTTTCAATTTCATAATTTCACAAATTTACCTTCTTATGTCAAAGACAGGGAAGATTTGGCTCCGTCGATTTATGAACGTTCCCGTCTTTAATCAATCGATAAATAATCATGGTATTAGAATACATTCAAAATAAAAAAATGGTTATATAAAGGAATATTCAATTGGCTAAATGATGACTGAGACTATTGTAAATAAAAGTCTTTTGATATCAGCTTATTTGTAAGTAGATTACTTGAAGGAGAAATGACACAAACAAGAAAGGGATGCCTGGATTTCTGGAGCTTATTTATCTGTACAGTGTACATGATTAGAATAATAATTTCTCAAAATATAAAAAGTAGCAACTTCCTTTATTGTTCAAATTCCACATGTTTGCGACTATTCTGATTAATCTTTACACAAATTTTATTATTGTGAAATAATGAATATTTCATTTAAAATCTATTAGAATTTACTTAATTATTTTACTTTAATAAACATGATTTAATTTTTAATTTTTATTTATTTTTTTTTTTTTGTCAGCAAATGTAATTTATCGTGGAGTCAAATGCTGACTGACGTTTTTCATACCAATTGTTAGTCTATTATTTAAGCATCGAATTGATGACGGATTTTTTCGTTATTTTCCGATGATGACAAGGAGCACACGGAGGGTGTGACCGGTCAGCAGGGGGTGCTCAATCCTCCATAACACCTGATCCCACCTCTGATGTTTTGAGGCCCGTGTTTGCTCTGGTCCTATTTTGTATTGTTTTATGGAATTTTGATCTTTAATACTGTTTTTTTTATCTCAATATGTTTCATTTTAAAACATTCGAAAAAGACTTCTGTTATCTCTCCTTCATCTTAAAAATTAGTTGCACTAAAAGCATGCTGGAATATTATATCGGGAGATGAAAACACCATTTGCACTCATACTTGATAAGGGATAATTACTACATTTATGTTAGGGGTGTTAACGACATATAACTATAATCATTCTGTTTGTCATAAATGTAGCTTAGTTTATGATAAAATTGTGCCATACTCTTTATTTTCCTAATCTTCCAAATTAACTGTCTTCCAACACTTTTATTTTGAAAATTATCTCCAAATTCATTATCTCAATTTGCAATCCTTGAATGTAGTTTCTTTTTATTCCTTGTGAATAATTAATACAGACGTTTGACCTTTAGTCAGTAACGTACGACTGGTTGCCTCCACACTCTCACCAAATAGGTTTTCCGATTAACAAGCGAAAGTGAAAGGTAATTAGTAACCCTCGACGAATCTATCAAGTAATAAGTTCAACCACTTATGTCGAGCATCTATGTTTATTTTTAACCTTAGAGCTCTCTTCCTCCCCTTCTCTCTCTCTCTCTCTCTCTCTCTCTGAATTCGAGGGAAAGAGGAAGTCACCTTTAATCATAGATTTCCTTTAATACATACATTTCCTATGATGTTTCGTCTCCACCTTTAACACCGGCGACTACCAATACATGCAAGAGATTGATGCAATATACAGGTATCAAATTACTAACTTGTACTTATATAGAGTTTTGTCCCAACATATTTTTTACTACTTTTCCTAGTATAGTATAAATAGTATAAAAGAAAGATATGGAAATAACGAACAGTATTCAATCTCAAAGTCCATAAAACAATACAAAATAAGAGCAGAGCAAAAACGGACCTCCGAAACATCAGTGGTGGGTTCACGTGCCATGGAGGAGTAAGCATCCCCTGCTGACCGGTCACACCCGCCGCGTGCTCTTTGTTATAAAAAGGAAATAACGGAAAAATCCGTCCTCATTTCAGTGCATAAATAATGTACTAACAATTAGTATGAACAACGTCTGTCAGCATTTGACTCAATGATAAGTTGTATTTGCTGACAAGGTCATAGTATCGACCATAGAACTTACGAAATGATGACTTTAAACGGGACGGCTGATATTCTTGTTTCATCAACTTGTTTATCAATATCTTAGTAAGGAGTAACGAAAGAGGCTTCGTTGAACATTTACTGGAACCCGCAATGTATCTTTGTTTGTAAGGATTTTTATGAAGATTCGGAATCCTATATATATATAAAGAGTAATTCTTAGATTCTACTCAGACAGCAAAGTCGTTGCCAATATATTCAAAGTTATAGAAACAAGAAATGTCTGTAAAACACTTATGCCCCCTCCCCCAAGTAATTGGAATTCTTCTTAAGGGCATAACTGTCAAAAATGGCTTTCAATTGGTCGTACTCAATATAAAACTTGACCAAGATATTCTTTTGATAAATCTGTATACTAAATTTCATTTCAATATGTGCAACCTCTGCAGAGAGAATGAACTGAAACTGATGGTGGACAGACCGCCAGACTGACGACAGAGAGCAACAAAGCAAATTGCCATCCCTTCTTCGAAGGGTGGCATACAAATAGCTGCAGTATACTTGTGCCCCTTCAAAGAAAATGTCTGATGCCTTTTTTTTACTTGCAAGGGATTTTTGGTAGTTGAGAGTGCCCCCCACTGCAAATGTATGGCTGTGCCCCAAAATTGAAATTGCTTCCTAATGGCTACGCCTGCCAGTGACTGCATCCTTATACCCCCACCCCAACCCTCGAACCCCTAAAATACGCTGTCGTATTTTGTATACTTTGAAAGGGTTTTAATAGATATTCTTTAGAATGTTTCCACCTTTAATTTAAATGCATAAATGTTTTCAAGCAACTTTTTTTCTTGTATTCCCCTCTCCATTTCCACTAATACATGCATACGCATACATTTGTACTGTACATTGTTTATAAATTTATTTTGTTAATAGTAATGAATTAATCAAATAATTAACAGATATTAAATTTTCAATTTCGTAAACACTTAATGCTAAATTGTTTTCCTGGTACCAACGCTTCTTAAAAATCACCAATTATGTTTTAAGAAAAGCTTGCAGTTGTCCTAAAGTAAGGACTAAGATGAAGATTAAGATTCTCCTAAGATAAGATATCTTCGTTGACCCCGCTTATAACTAAGACATGTTTATCACAAGAAATGTCTTTGTCTTAAGATAGCTTCATAAGCATACGTGCAGGTTCCGAACACATTAGCAAGGGTGACGTAGTACTCACTTCCTAGTCTTAAACTGGTGAATAATTTACCATTTCTCGCTGTAGTCTCGCTAGATTTCAGCAAAACTACTTGGTTTTATAATTTGTAGAACATCAACATTTTGATGGACTTCCAAACCTAGTTATTGTTTGTTTATTTCATATTTCATGTTGTAAAGGCTACATTGAAACATGGAGATGAAGAACAGTATGAAGCTTATAAGTCAAACAATAAAAATCAGAAACAGAGAAAACACGAACATAAGAAGTGGTGGGATCAGGTGCCATGAAATAGTAAACATTCCTTGCTAACTGGTCCCACGCGCTGTGTACCCCTTGTCATGTTTAAGAAAAACAGAGAAAAATCCGTAGGTAAATCAGTGTGTAAATTATGGTCTAAAAATTAGTTAAAAAAACGTCAAACAGATTTAGTGATATATTGCATTAATCATTGATCCTGTATGGAGAGAACCATTATCATATTCCTCCTGAAAATATGGCGCTTTTTATCACCACTGCGCATGCTGCCTTAAAAAAGTCATTTCAGAAACCACATTTATTTTTAAAAAAAAAGATAAAACATAATGAGACTATATAAAATGGATGAGATCTGATTTATGCTTCAAAATAATTTACCCTTTGGCTTTTGTAAACTGCAGTCAGTGTGCAAGTTGAACGCTAAGCAAAATATATTAATCTTTCTGGTAAATACTGTATTGATTTAAGACTGAAATGTTGATGTTTCATTGAATTTCTGTAATTCATAATCTGTGTTAACAATGTTTTAGAAGTATGTAAAAAGAAAACGAATTTCAAATGAGTCTATAAATATTTCACCCAAAATATCTACACCTATATTCCAAAACAGTTAAAATTGTGACATTGTTGTTTTTTTTTTTTACAATAGTTTTGACTATACCAAAAATAATAATAGAAATCTTAGATATTTATCGATATTTTGAATATTGTATAATAATAATAATAATAATAATCAAAAAGCATTATTTGTCAGGTCATTGAGCTTGGGGTTGCAAGTGTAATTGTTCACAAGATCAACAACAGTGATCCAACAAACGAGGACTCGGAATAAATATAAACGTCAGAATAGTCTATGTTTTCAATCCACACATGGTTTCCTGCCTCAACCTCTACAAACACTGTTTTAGACCCGGAATGGTAATAATTACTACCATTTTCACTTGAACGAATTTTTCCTTTTATTGAATTATTTATTTTAAGAGCTGTGCTACAATGAGTACTCCCACTATAGCGACATTGCATGGTCCAGTGGAACAAATAAAGGCCGTGGACAGGAGCGATAAAAATTCCATTCGTCGGGTTGTAATGTTTTCCCCGGTTGTTAATGACATTTGGAAACTGAAGAATGAATCCAGGTCCTATTCCAGATTTACTATTTGACTTCGCAGAGAATGTTACCGGTGTATTATTGAAAACAGGGATACCTAAAATTAAAAAAAAAATTAAATCATTTTATAAAGTTCAAATCTCATGCTTCGGTAATTTTTACTTTAAGTGAGTAATCCTTCTTCGAGGTTAAGATAGCAACCTGTTTGTATATTTTTGACCGTTTATAAATTTTCTGCTTGAATGGAATGTGTTCTCTTAATGTTAATTAAGTATTAATTCAACTTTGCAGATCAGACGATATAAAAGGAAGATAGCAAGGCGATACAAATCATTTCTGTGAAAAAAAGATTGGTAATCGATCTCAAATAATTTATAAACAATACAAATATGTGAAGAGGGCATAACACGTAGACTCCAGGAAATTCCTATTGGGATCAGGTGCAGTGGGGTAGTAAATACCTCTGTCGGCCAGTGACATATGCTCTGTATTTATAAGGTAGACAGAACATTCCGTAGTCAAATTTAGTAGAAGAAGACGTAACCATTTCTATGAAACAAGTATTTTTTTTCTCGAAAGAGACCTGTGCCCTAATACAGTTTAAATAATTTTTGTTTAAATTTTACTGAAGATAGTTTCATATACATGTATATCAATAATCTTAATAAAGTTGCATATCAAATACTATCATACTTCTGAAATTGAAAATGAAATTAAAACATTTATGCAAAAAAAACTACATGTAATAATAAATGAACCATAAATTAAAAAAAAAAGTTCTGGATTCTTTTTGTGCATTTAGGATATAGGGTTTCAGAGTTTGCAGAAAATTTTATCTGCATTTTTATCATGTTTATAAGAGCTATAATTTGCAAAGAAAAATGTTTAAAAAGAAAAAAAATCTAATAATGACTATAATTTTATTTAAAAATAAGTCAAAAAAGATTATCGCTGTGGAAAAAAGCAATAAGCAAACATCATACCTCCGCTTGCTACCTTTAAGGTGTTGATGCTTGTGAGGTTCGTGTTGTCCTTTCCGGTCAGCATTTTTGACACAGTTCTCTCCAGTATGGACACTCTATTCTGCAAATCGGATACGGTCTCTTGTTGAGAACTGTTTGTTGTATTCTGACAAAAAACGCGGCTAATGCAAAGGATGAGAAGGCTACAGTATAGTTTGAGAAACATGATTCTTTCAAATGCGAGATCGGAATTAGGGAGGACTTCATTTGTTTTCTTATTTATAGCGGTCGGTCTGTATTGTTTCGGAAGGGGAGTTTACAATCATTGTTTTTCATCCTGATTGGATAAAAGTATCTCAACAACACTTATACGATATCTTCATCAATTTTTAAAGTGTTTAAGACTAAATTAATGAAAGATTTAATTTGAAATAGTTGCACCAAATGGGTCTATTCTCTATGTGGCTCATGGGTAAGTGTTTTCTCTGGAGTCGCGGAATAAGAAGCTGATCCTTACACCACTGCGGGATGTGAAGACCGGGCCTTCGGATGAGACCTTATAAAGCGAGGTCCCATGTCGCAGTACGTGTTGGCACGCAAAAGATCAATTGCAGCCCAAAGGCCCTTACTGTCGAGAATAGGTATAAGTTTGCAACCCTCCACCAGCAAGTGGTGAGATCTCCATATGGGTGAAATATTCTTGAAAGGGACGCCAAACAACAAACAAAATACTTTGGGTTTGATAAATTTACAAAGTAGCGTCTGCTTGAATTTATTTGTGAGTTACATCTTTATGCAATATCTATAGGTATTACAATACAGGTCTCGTTATTCTTGTATGTTGACCATTTTACTCGCTCCTAGACCTTCATTATATCACATCAAAAGGATTTTCTTTTCATAGATTATTCTATTTTGAATTTAATACAAAGTAAAGAATAAATTCTGATTATCTGTTTTGCGAAATCAATATTGATATGATTCTTTTAAAATCTCGATTGAACAAATCTTCTTATTTCTGTTTGTTTATTTTGTTTTCATTCGTATTATTAGACGGATTAGAGTCTTTTGAGTTAACAACTGTATGTTGAAATAATCTTGTGCTTCTTTTTGACAAATGGTTTTAAGATGTATACTTTTAATAAAAACGACACTTTAAGGAAAATATCTTAAGAAAAAAAAATTCTTGAACATATTTTTGAAGGATTTCCTCATTGTAAAATCGAAATACAATCTTTAAGGAAATACATAAAAAATACATTCGTGAATTGTAAAGATCCCAGGTACATGTTTTTACTTCCCTGAAGTCCTTATGTTGTTTAATTTCAGTATACTTTACAATGTCTTATTTCATTCTTTTTGTGACGCCTGCAGAACAAAGTGACACTTAATAAACACTTTGCCCGTCGTCTGTTTGTGTGTCTATTCGTCTGTCCTTCTATCCCACCATATGTCTTAAAGGTATTATGGATTTGATAATTAAAAAGGCCCAGAAAAGACTTTTTGAATATTCCAAATACTATTCAACCCAAACTAATATCTTTTTTTACATGTTGTTGGAAAATCATCTTTTAGATATTTTGACAAAATATTATAGGCTTGTGATGCCATATGCATATAAAAACAGCATTTAAATGATGTTAAATATCGGTGGTCGGCGCACGACAATTGTTTGACTTTTACAAATGGCATTGTCATTGAAGATTTCTTCGTCATCGGGCAATACGGCAATATAATGTCCAAAAAAATTCCAACATAAATACTCAGTAATTTGATGTACTCTTTATTTGACATCAGTAATGATAGATATATGACGATATGTGCCAAAGCGCTTTAAAATAGACATTGTAAATCGTGACGTTAAGCGGTGGTATATGGTGCAACAAATTATCAAGCAACACTATGTTGAGAGGGATACGACTCCTGTATATAGAGAAAAGAGATGCTAACAATAAAAAATCACAAACATAACCATGGGAAACAGATTTATCTCTAGTAGAAGAGGTTTGAGGTTGACTCGACTGATTATCCGATGGACTTAAAGCAATATGAGCTGCATTTCTGAAAATTTTATTTTGTTGTTAAAATGTGTTATTATGATAAATTCGCATATAACTTAATCCTTTATGATCAATTAAACTAAAATTAATTTAATTTTAGTTTAATTTTAAATACCAGTAATTCGATCAGAAAGGTTTATGGGCGGGATTGGAACACTAGTATTTGAGATGTTTAACTTGGTAGCTAAAACAAAATTAAATACATTGCCGAATGCATGCTTCAATGAATATTTTATAGGCACATTTTCCAGAACAAATTTATAAACACTATAAGATAAGCTTTGACGTCGTCAGTGTTGCGCCGACAGCTGATTTGTTAGATTCGTTTTCCTGAGAGGAAAAAATATTTATAGAGATATTTCATTGGAATTTTTAGGCATCATTCAAAAAATGTTGATAATGATATATGCCAATCTTTAACTTTATAGTCCTAGTGAAACAAAAGATATTGAAATGTTCGCGTTTTTGTGGGATAACCCTCGTATATTGGAACAAAACGTGCTGTATTCTGATACTAATTCTTCCAAGTAATCCCTCTGTTTTATATGTAACAAAATAAAAGTGTAAACACAATTTCCTTTTTTTCTATGCACTAAATAGATCAAATGAAAATTCAGGATTTTTCTCAATCGGATTTCAAAACTCTATTTAGTATCCTATGATATAAAAATTTGAAAAATAGATACAAGAAAAAAGCTCAGGAAAATTGACATTTATATTTATTTTTAAAAGAGTAACTGATATGTCTCTTTGTATCCTGAAAACTGATTGTTCACTTTACTTTCTCCATAATATGTATATCATTTACTAAGATGGAAAAATTATATTTATTTATAAGATACTGTTTTGGAAGTCGTTCGCAGTTAATCATTAGATGGAATTGCTTCTTACATACTATCTAGATAAGAGGGCTGTTCAATAAATAATGTCCTCGGTGCTCGGAAAGCAACAAAGAGCGCTTTTTAAGGATTTAGCCTTAATGATTTTACTTAAATATTTGTTTTTAATTGAAACACATGTCCGTAACATTTTTATCCAATTTCTTATTGTTTTTATAACGCATTTTTGAGTATTGGCCTTCGTATACAGGAATATGGCAGATCCTATGATATCCTTGACTTGTTTCTTCGTTCTGAATGGTGTTTTTTTTTTAATTTGGAAAATGAAACAAGTAAAAGGATGAAAGATCTGGCGAATATTGTTGGTTTGACATAATATTAACTTTCTGTTTATCCCCAAAACTACTTTACTTTTTTTGGCCTGTGGGTTCTGACGCTGTCATGACGAAATTGAAGTAGTGGATTCCTGATTCTGGCTCCATCCTCTCAAAAACCTTTCGATTTTTCTACAAAAATTTGCTTTCTTGACTTCTCCAGATATTAAACTGCCTCCCCAAATAAGAATTTAAACAATAAGACAACTAATATTTAAGAAAATGACATATATAAAAATAATTTTGTGCTTTTGACATCCGTTGCTTTCTTCAGACCTAGATTGTTTTTGTCAAATGCGTCTGATTGTTAATTTGTTTTGAGGGTTTAAAGCAATGAAATTAAATTTCACTATCTGCTTGAAGTTCAGAAACGTAGATAACTTCAATTTTTGATTTTCTTTTAAAATATAAGATATTCTTACACGCTGTTATTTTCACTCGTTTTTCCAAAAATAAGGTGACCATTAAGTACTAGGCTTTTAATTCAATTAAACATCATCAGTGATTATTTTTTGAATTTTCGCAAACAGTACATTGGTTGTTGTAAGTATTTGTCGACAGGGACGGTACGAATTTTTGATGTCCATTATATCATTTTTTTATTGAAATCCACCTACTTATATGTCTATAAAACAGACATTAGTTGCTGTAAATACATATTTCAGGGAATTTTCTTTGGGATTCTTTACGAGTCTTACAGCAGCTTTCATGTAGCGTTTAACTTTGCTCTTGTTTACTGATTCTTTACCATTCATTTTTAATGCAATGATTCGAATAGCCCTTGTTTTCCAGCTTCTCACAAAAAAACTATGTGATGAAAAGTGGTCAAATAAACTGTTATAAATTCACTAACGATTTTTTCAAGAGAGATAGTCAAGCTTAATGTCATATGATTTCTTTTTGTATGTCATAGAGCTCAGAACATTAATTTTTTAACAGCCCTCGTAAATGTTGTCAATATGTTTGTTTTTCGTTTAAATGCCATCTGAAGAATTTTGGCACATACGGAGACGCCGCCATTTGCCAATGCCAGCACCTACAGCTACACGTTACCTCAGTACTGTTCCATCCGAAAGACCAGTTTACACGTTCAACAGTGCAGTAGATTCAAACCGGTAACGAAAGAACCAACTCTTTACCCCGTGACTCTAGAGCAGACTGATGCTCTAACCACTGCGCCACGCGGGCGACGTTATCATTGAAAGATATGTTGAAAATATCAAATTCTATGATTGATACAATGAGTTAACGAACAAATGAATTCTATAATGTATTAGTTGAAGTTTGTTTGAAATTTATCATACAAATTATTAGTTCATTATTTTTACACTGAATTTTCTACAATATGCACATATTTCCTTTTTCTCGAACATACAATAAACAAACGGCAGATGGGACCGACAGATAAGGAATGGTTACTTGCATTTGATGGTACTTGATCCTTGCTTTAATCTTTTCAGAAGTCCGTGTTTTCCTTTACTCCAAATTATAATTATTTCAGTTGACTCTTAAATTTAATTGAATTGAATTTAAATTCATCATGTTTATATTAGAGTTTTGTTTTATTTGTTTTAACTAACGCTTTTTTCATAGTAAATATCAAAAAAAAAAAGTCATAGAAATTGTGATAGATGTATTTTTTATTTAATTAGAGTTCAAAGGGATACATTGAATGTTGACAGGGGACCTATTTTACGAGTTTCAGTTTAATTTAAAAAAAACTTTCTATGAATATATTGGAAATAAATTATGTTTTTGTTTTGCTTCCAGTCGGTTTGTTCTATCCTCGGGACTTAGAGGATTACATTTCGATTCGATATTTTTTATTTTATTTGAAAATTCACGGTTCATGGAGGATTTTCATTTACAAATAAAGCTCATATGAATGAGTGGTTTATAAAGTAGCCAGTCTGGAATATCTTTTTTAAAGTTTGCCACGTTTCTCTAATTATTCAACGTGTCAAATGTTTTAAATTCTGCTTATTTATATAAGCTTCATGTATTATAATTCACATTTTCTTTTTAAATTGAGACAAATTATTGTTGAAAAAGTTGATGAAACAAGAATATCAATAATTAATATCATTATAGTTTTAGTTCCATTGTTGATACGATGACCGGAGCAATCACAATACTGACCGACGTTTTTCATCTTAATTGTTGGGGAATTTTCACAAACACACAGCGGTCGGCATGGAATGCTCACTCCCCCATTGGATCTGATCATCTCTGACAATTCAGAGGTCGATGTCTGCTCTGTTCCGTGTTTGCATTGTTTCGGTGGATTTGAATATTGTTCGTTATCTACATACCAGTATATTTCAGATTAAAGTAAAAATTTCAATTTTCAGATTAAGACAATTTTATTGAAATAACTTTTGCAGTCCTTCAGCAGCTTTAAAGAGAAGAATGAATAAAAATTTTGAATAGATTTTTAATCAGCTGTACTTTCTCGTCAGTGTAAATTGCATTTGTTTTATTTTAATAACCAACGGACAGCACCCTATAATTTGCAACATTTATGTCACAAATTCTGAGAAAAAATTATGCTGCTATCTTCTTAGAGAAAACACTATTTACATATATATATTTCAGATTTTCTATTAAAACATATAGAGTTACACTGACAACACCTGCTAAATGATTTGAAACAATTTAAACTCTATATTCAAAATTTAAACCAAAACTAGAATTAATCTGGGACTTGTAATATCATGATCACAATAATTTACAGGCGTTTACAATCTTTATAAAATGGACAAAAGAGATCCCCCGAATGAGGAATAAGAGTAAATGTCGGCACTTGAGTAATCTACATTTTCAATCCACACATGCTCTCCAGCCTCCACCTCAACGATGACTGTGCTGGACCCAGTATGGTAATAACTTCCAGCATTCTCCCCGGATCGAATTTTCCCTTTTAGTGAGTTGTCTATTTTGAGAGCGGTTCCACAGTGTGCATTTCCACTGTGGTAACACTGCATGGTCCAGTAGAACAGGTAAATGCCGTGAACAGGTGCGATAAAGATTCCGTCCGTCGGGTTGTAGTGCTTTCCCACATTAGTTATGACTGTAGGGAACTTCAGGATGTATCCGGTGCTTATGCCACCCATATTACTATTGGTCCGAGCGCAAAATACCACAGCAGTGTTATTGAAGATAGGAATCCCTAAAAAGTTTTTAAAATGTCTAGAAACTATTTCAGACACATTCTGTTCAATTGCAACATTGAACATGCATACATACAGTCTTACATGTATTAAAAAAGTCATTTCTTAATGAAATAAAATCCTGAAAACTGAAAGTAGGCGGCATTGATAAGAAGGAGAGATTTGTATCAAATAAATTTAGTTGAAAAGATCGAGATCTATACTTTTCCACCAGTATAACACATTTTTGTCCTACATTTTCGAAAATCATTTTGTTATCTGGTCTTCCTTCTCGGAGAATGCATAAATGTAATACTCCATATTAAGATTTTTAAATCGAAATTTGAATATGAATGATGTTCTTTAAAAGAGGATAAAATTTCCCTGTAAAGTTACACAAGTGTCTATATGCAGATAAAGACCTCTAGCTCAGCTTTGTTACTCTTATGCATGCATTTAAGTAGTCTTCTGCTTGTAGATATATTTCCAAAACTTTATGTTTAAAGATTCTTTTAAGAATGCAATAAAGGAATATCTCACTTACAATATTTAAGGAATCACTGCCTAGTACTATAGTATGTCAGGGCATCAACTATAGTGGGAAAAATAGGATGTTTTGCATAACGGGCGAAGATTTAAACTATACGAGGACTCCCATGACAATTTCAAAAGTCTTTGGCCACTCACGTCAAACGCAAAGGCATCCGCGCGAGATTTACATGCATATTTGGCCTCCTTACCGTGAGACAAAGAGACAGATGCGTACGAGATTTGCATGTATATTAGGCCTCCTTAGCTCATGACCTATCGACCTGCCTAATTTACATTCCGGTACTTTTATCAAGAAATCAACTCCGCTATCTTTCAAAGAGTAATCACAGAGAAAAAAAATAGAAATGGAAATATTTCCCTACAATTTATATGTTTTAAGCAGATTTGATAAATTAACCTTTGTGTTATTTAACTTTTTAGTTATGAATTAAAGAGTATTATAATTTGCCGAAAGTATTTTTTGATTTGCAATATAAAGAAATTACTTGATATTGTATCCGTTAATGGCCATTCTCAAAACTGTAAAGCGGTAAAAAGTTTCAAAAATTATAGCAAATATCATGACATCATACCTCCACTTGCTACCTTTAAGGTGTTGATTCCTGTGAGGTTCGTCGTGTCCCTTCCGGTCAGCATTTTTGAAACAGTTCTCTCCAGTATGGACACTCTATTCTGTAGATCGGATACGGTTTCCTGGTTGGTAATATTTGTTGTTTTCTGACTATAAATACAATTAACACTTAAGAACAGAAAGCATATCATTAAAAGTTTTAAATGCATGATGTCTTGTTGAAAGAACAGGATTTAAGCAGGGAAAAGCAAATTCGTATTTTATTTATAGTTTCCCTTGCATCCATTTAATAAAGGCGTTAACAAATAGTTGTTTTACAACCTGATTGGGTAAGGCGTTATCTATATCAAGTGTACGAGAACGCATTTATTTTACCACTACTAAAACTTAACTGTTTCAGATATTTGAATCCTAAATTTGGAAAAATCACGTAGAGCATGCTTATAAATCATATTTAAAATCTCTGATTACTTTAAAATGTTATATAATAAAGACTGAAATTGCTATAGTAAAATAGGAATTAAAATTATTTAAAAATTCTTTTCACATCAATACACCCATTGTAACAGACAGAAACTAAATTTTGCATCTGCTTATAACTAAAACTTAAATAAGGTTAACAGTAACAGTTTGTACCTTTTTGCACGAAAAGCAGACCGTACTGAGTATATTTTATTGTATTTCTTCTTTTTTTCTATCGAATGTACATTTCAAGTCGTTGTTTTAATTCCCCTTCGAAGGCAATCAATAAGTGAACTACCAGTATTTATGTGACGACATCGAGAATGTTCGAAATGGTTTTCTTTGTCAACAATTTTACGTTTGTTAAATAATATTTACTTTTTAAGACAATTCTGTCTTTATATTTTATTGTTATTTGGCAAAACAAATCTTCCAATTTATTTGAGAATTGAGGAGGGTTAATATTTAGCACCATGCTGAGGTGCACAACGTATTGAATGCTGCTGTTGATGACAATGCAGTTAATGATGACGATGATTTCAATGACGAGGAGGATAATCTTTATAAAGATATCGATGGTGATGTTGTTGATGCTGTCGACGAAGAAGCAAGAATCATAAAAAATAATTGACAGTGATCTCAAACTGCATTCCAGGATACCAGCCCAGGAAATTGTCAGATTGTTTGGAACGTCTGAGAGATTAATCTCGTATTGATATATGCGCTTCTTGAAAGTTGCAACCATTTGTTAGTTTGAAAAATATATTTAAATTTGATAGCCTGGATGGTGTTACAGCTTTTTAAGGTATCAGAACCATATTCGCTTCAGAATCAATTACGAATAAAGGTTTCACCCGCCGTGTGCTCCTTGTCATGATCCGGAAATAACGGACAAATCTGTAGTCAATTCAGTGTATAAATAATGTAATAGCAATTAGCATGAAAACGTCAGTCAGCATTTGACTCAATGATAAATTTTATTTTCTGACAATGTCATTGTATCAAACATAGAACTTACGAAATGATGACTTTAAGCGAGACTGCTGATATTATTTTTTCATCAACTTGTTTGTCAATAATTTAACTCGTTTTAGGAATTGTTCATACGTAGATCATGCTCTTGCGTATCGAATCAAATGAAATATAAAAACACCGTATGCAGGTGATGAAGGTATATCGCTACATAAGCAAGGGAAGTTGACGATAGAAAAATTAATGTCATGACGTTTATCGTAGAGCTTGGTTGTTAGATTAACAATAAGTCTTTTTCAAGTAAAATGTTAAAATATTAAATAGTTGTTATACACTCTGTGGTATCTTTTATCCCAAGCTCACCAGGATTTGTCGAATCGACATAAGAATGGAAATTACCATTGTTAATTGACCATACGTCTTCGATATATCTGAATGTCGAGTTGAAGGCCACAGCAAGTGTTTTCTTCTTTTCACGCATAAGATTTTGCATAAAATCTACTTCATAAGAATACAGAAATAGATATGCTAGTAACGGGCGCAATTCGTACCCATGGGAATTCCAGTAGATTTTTTGGAGACATGAATTCCAAAAACAGTATGGATATTGTCAATTAAAAATTCAAGCACCCTTTTGATGTCAACTTCAGTGCACCTATGTGTACAATCAGAATGTTTTTAACATAATAATTTTGCAAATTATCAATTACATAGTAAATAAATTTATTTTGGCTGTTTCATATCATTTGTTAGGCTTTTGTATTTTTACTGAAAATTCCGTCCTTCCTGATCCTTACATAGGGCTCATGGCGGGCCTGACCGGTCAACTGGAGATGTTTACATCTCCAATACAGTTAAACCCATCTCTGGAATTTTTAAGGGGTCTCGTTTCTGTGAACATTATTGTATTGTTCATAGTTATTATGAGATGGATCACTGTTAGATACCTTTTTCATCAATGCTCACGGTCAGTGTAAACACTTAACAATTAAAATTTTAAAAATGATGTAGAGTTTTAGAATGTTGATAGATTAGTTCACATTTTTAAATTTCAAAAACCCAAACAGATTTGGTATATTGAAATTTAATATTTTAGTTCAAAAATATTAAATGTTCAAATTTCAAAACAGGTTTTAGAATTTTTTTTTTAATCAAAGAATCAATGAATTAATTTATGAATTGTTAAGTGTTACACGGACCGCTCAGGACCATTAAGCAGGTAGTGTTATCTTTATATGTCAACGCTTTGATAACACAAGATCATGGTTTAAATTTTTTGAAATGTTCATTCGAAAGTCCAACAACTATCAATTCAAAGATTCGCTTGGTTAAAGGTACAGTTTCTAACCATTTTTGTGGAATTAGGTTTGGAGCGGCTGTGCTTGAATCCACGACCTTCCGATTTTAGAAAAATTACAAGGTTAGATTCTTGGTTATGTTTGTAGATAGAGAACAGCTTTCAATCTTATAAAACAAGAACAAACCCAATCGTTAGTTAGGCAAAAGCATTAGACATATAGAAACACTCAGTAGTATCAGATGTTAGTCTTAAAAATATCTTCGGTTTTCCTCGTTCTTGATGTAAGACTTAAAACATCTAGTATTTTTTATAAAGAGACTAAACATGTATCATACTGCCACTTCTATTTTAATTTTAAGGACAATGTAGATGAGAAGGACACACTTGTCTTTTTTTTTTTTTTTTTTTTTTTTGCTTTTTAATTTTTTCGAGATGCTCCAGATTAAATTTCGAGAAGTAATTTGGCAGCACATTAATAATGTCTTGAAAGTTTTACACGTTTTCAAAGTGTTTCATGAGGATCTTAGGTTCAGTTACTTTTTTTAAATAAATATTTTAGTTTGATGAATGAGAAGAACATTTTTAAAACGCAATAGCAACTATATTCTTGAAATCATACCATCAAACACTTATGGCTATAGGCAGCGCATAAACTTAGCTATTAATTAACCTTTACGTTTTACCGTGTCTTTAATTTGTTTACTTTGTATATATCATTACAGAAGAACACTAGTGAGTTGGTTTGCTATTTAATATTTTTTATAAACTTATGAAATACAGTTTTCATATTATATAATTATAGCCTTTCGATGAGGTCTATCCCTCGATATATAGACCTTAGAGAAAGCAGGTCGACCGAGCACGAATATGCTTTCTCTAAGGTCTATATATCGAGGGATTGTACCGAATCAAAAGTCTACAATTGTTTTATTATTTTTTTTTTATCAGTTAATAGAAATGTCTTAAATCCTTCTTTCTAATACTCAGAACCTTCTCATATAAGGCATTGTTATTTCATTTGCATTATGACTTCACAGTAATGAATATCAGCTGCAGTATCTGTTTTTAGAAACATGCAGTTTATAACGACTATTGTGACGTCAGCACTATTGTTGCTTCACAGAAACAGAAACAGCAGGTTTATAATTTTTTAAAATAGAAACATCCAGTCTGTAACACTTTTTATACTTGATCATGTGATTTAGTTTGAGTCAATCAGATAGTTAGAACAATAACGAAAAATAATAATTCATTATAATGCACATCAGAGTTTCTACTTTTTTATGTATTTAGAAAAAGTTACATCGTAAAAGTTCAAGGATATGTGTAATGTATAATCAAATCCTCATTTAAAAATAATTTAGAGCTAATAGACTTAAACCATGTTCAATAAAAACAAACAAGTTGATGAAACTATTGACCGTCTCGTTTGAATTCATCATTTTTGCTAGTTCTTCTTCCAATACAGTATTACCATGTCAGGAAAAAAAAAAACTTTTCTTTAAGTCACATACTGACTGACTTTTGAAATGGTTGACCATTATTTACGCACTTACTTGTATACGTTTTTCCTGTTATTTTGCGATAATGACATGTACAAGAAGCACGCGGCGGGTCAGACTGGTCGGCAGGGGATGTTTACTCCTCCATGGCTCTTGGTTTCAACTCTGATTTTTTTCGAGGTGCATGCATGAACTGCTCAGGATTTATTTTGTCTAAATGGACTTTGAAATTGAATATTAATATTGTTATCTGCATATCTCATTTCAAAAGTGATGATTGCAAACATTGGTCGATCTAATAATGAAATTCTATAAACATCACAAAAATGCTAAAAGGGCATAAAACACAGAGCTCTAGGCATTCTAGAAGTAGGACCAGATGTCTAGGAGAAGTCCCCATAGACACCAGTCCCCATTAGGACCGGTCACACCTGCCAGGAGCCATGTCTCTTGGTTAGACAGATGGAACTTTCCGTGGTCAAATCAGTATAATAAAGCAAAACAATTAGTATGAAACAAGTCAGCCTAAATACGACCCAACGATATAACAATGAACTTGAGATAAAAGCTACCAGAGAGTATGAAATATCTGTGTCATATCTGGATATTTTACTTGAAAAAGACCTCAATGGTAATCTAACAAACAAGCTCTATTATAAACGTGATGACTTTAACTTTTCAATCGTCAACTTCCCTTACTTATGCAGCAATATTTCTTCATCGCCTGCATACGGAGTTTATATCTCTCAGTTGATTCGACACGCAAGAGTATGATCTACGTATGAACAATTTGTAAAACGAGATCAATTATTGACAAACAAGTTGATGAAACACAAATATCAGCAGCTTCGTTTTAAGTCACCATTCGTTAGTTCTATGGTCGATACAATTACCTGGTCAGCAAATACATTTATCATTGAGTGAAATGCTGACCGGAGTTTTTTCATACTGACTTTTAGGCCATTATTTACATACTAAATTGACAACTGTTATTTCCCGATCATGACAAGGAGCACACTGCCGCCGCTAACTCCTCCATGGCACGTGATCCCACCTCTGATGTTTTGGAGGTCCGTCTTTGCTCTGCTCCTATTTTGTATTGTTTAATGGACTGTTGAGCTTGAAAGCTATTCGTTATTTCCATATGTTTCTTGTACTTTCTTGTACAAAAAGTACTCTTTTGAATAGTTCATTATTCTTGAGGCATCTAAGCCTCGACCTTTTCAAAAACCCAATATGTGTGCTGTTAGTAAAAAGCAATCATTTCAGTTTTGGGACACAGCTACAAATTTTCAGCTTAATTGGAGTAGTACTTGTAAGTTACAAAATCCTGACAAGCAAAGTGAAAAGATCATCAGACGTTTTTATTGACGGTGTACAGGCATAACGTAGAAGTCAATATTTTCTATAGAAATTTTGTACATGTAGTGGCAAAATTTTCGGGACACGCCACCTCCTGGAACATATGGCCTTAACCTGACTTTCTTTTAGGCAAGTTAACTAGTAATTATTTATCACTCCCTTTCATAGCAAAACTGTTAAGATTAAGGATGACGTTTACTCAGGTTTGAGAAATCAGAAAGAAAATTTTATAAATTATAATATGTTAACTCAAAAATTGTTCTAAATGGATAAAATAACCAAGATTTATATCAATATCATTTAAAAAATTTAATACGTTTGTAATTGAAGAAAATATACAGGAACAAAAATCAATGTACGGTTATGCAGAGGAAATTCGTACCAAATTTCTTAATTTTTCAATTCTGTCAAAATTTTTATTTCTTGAAATATTAATCACAAAGTAAAGGTTACATATATTTTAAGACATCATTATGCAAATATTATATGTGTTTAAGCTCATAAATTGTTTCAAATAATTGAATGCTATGAAAAAAAAGAAATTTAAAAAATTGCACAAAAACCACTCCGGACAACATATCTCAATAATACCATGAGAATCAGGGTAATAAAAGAAACCTGAGGCTATCAATAATTTAGAGTTTTATTTGCAAAATTATTTTGTTAAAACAGATTCTGATTGCATACATAAGTACTCTGAAGTTAACATCAAGAAGATGCTTGAATTTCAGATTGAAAATATCTATGTGGTATTTGGAGACCAGGTATTCCAACAATCTATTGGAATTCCCATGGGTACAAATTGTGCTCCGTTATTAGCAGACTTATTTTTATATTCACATGAAGCAGAATTTATACAAAATCTTATGCGTGAAAAGAAGAAAACACTTGCTGTGGCCTTCAACTCGACATTTAGATATATCGACGACGTATTGTCAATTAGTAATGATAATTTCCATTCCTACGTCGATACGATATATCCTGGTGAGCTTGTGATAAAAGATACCACAGAGTCCGACACTTCTGCTTCATATTTGGATATTTTACTTGAAAAAGACACTAATGGTTATCTAACAACCAAGCTATACGATAAACGTGATGACTTTAACGTCTCTATCGTCAACGTCCCTTACTTATGCAGCAATATACCTTCATAACATGCTTACGGAGTATATATATCTCAGTTGATTCGATACGCAAGAGCATGCTCTACGTATGAACAATTTCTTAAACGAGGTAAATTATTGACAAGCAAGTTGACGAAACAAGAATATCAGCAGTCTCGTTTAAAGTCGTCATTTCGTAAATTCTATGGTCGATACAATGACCTTGTCAGCAAATACAATTTATCATTGAGTCAAATGCTGACTGACGTTTTTCATACCAATTGTTAGTCCATTATTTATACATTGAATTGACGACGAATTCTTTCCATTACTTCCTGATCATGACAACGAGCACACGGCGGGTGTGACCGGTCGGCAGGGGATGCTCACTCCTCCATGGCACCTGATCCCACCTCTGATGTTTCGGAGGTCCGTGTTTGCTCTGCTCTGATTTTGTATATATTGTTTAATGGACTTTGAGATTGAATACTGTTCGTTATCTCCCTATCCTTCTTAATTAGATTTTTGTAGGATTCGATTAAAAATAGGAAAGAAATATAAATATGACAGAGCAAATTTGGACAGTAATATTTATCATGTTTAAGGCCCAAACTCTACTCATTTCTTTATATGGAGCAACTCTCTTTCATTGCTATAATATGTCATTATTTAAAGAGTTTTGTTGCTTGTAATATTTTCTGAGTGAAGAAAAAATTGGTCATAGTGTGAAAAATTGAAGTATTTCCCGAGAAATACTCAAGGGCCAGTAGCATGAAAACGAGGTCATTGACCTAGCTATTTAAAATTGAAATTTAAGACAAGAATCATAGGTCTACAATGTGCAATAGGTGGTTTTTCGTTCTTATCAGTGGAATTTTTAGTCATCTGAGTAAAGGTATACCTTAAGAGCACCAAGCCTTTTTTAGATTATAATCATTGTTATTTGTTTTCAATTCTTGATGCATTCATCCTTTATAATTAAACAAAGACAATTTGATGCGTTTTAGATACTCTGTGCAACAAAAATTCAAAATGAGGAAAACAATTGATGCTTCAGTTGTTATATAACGATACATTTTATATGATTCATGTCACATACAATGACACCACATGTATATGTAGTTGCATCAGTTTTCCCAAGAAAGTATTGGAAAATGCGAAGTGGTAATAGTTTTTCGACCACACAGTTACCATAAAACATTTTCAATTTTGTCTAAAGGATCCGCAAAAGCAATCCTCCAAATGATGAATCATGATAAATGTAGACATTATCATAGCTCTCATTTTCAATCCAAACATGGTTTCCTGCTTCAACCTCTACGAACACTGTGTTGGATCCAATATGGAGATAACCACTAGCCTCTTCACCAGATCGTATTTGACCTTTCAGTGCATTGTTAACTCTTAGACCGGTACTGCAATGTATACTGCCACTGTAGTAACATTGCATTGTCCAGTGGAACATGTAAAGGCCGTGAACAGGTGCGATGAAGATTCCATTGGTCGGGTTGTAGTGGTTCCCCAGGTTGATGTTGACAGAAGAGAATTTTAGGATGAATCCATCGCTAATTCCGCTGACACTACTACTAGACGAAGCGCAAAATACCACGGGTGTGTTATTGAACATGGGGACTCCTATAAAATGTAAATATATATGATAATATGTCAATTTGTTTAACAGGCATTTGTATAGCAATAAAATAGATATATAACAATGGAACAAATTTTGGCATATTACCTTTTTTGGCCCTATTAATAGTTGTAATGTTTACGTTGTCCTTTCCGGTTAACATTTTTTCAATAGTTCTCTCTAATAAGGACACTCTATTCCGCAGGTCGGTCACGGTTTTCTGGTCCGTTATGTTAGTTGTGTTCTGACAATGAACGGTACAAAAATCAATAAAAACAAAAATTAAAACTTTGTAGACACACATTGTGTTTGATATTGACGATTAACACCTGATGAAAAATACGAAAGTCTTCAACATATTTATCACATGCGCATTTATATTTATGTTTGGGCGTGTTTAAAAGAGAGTCGTTGATTGGATAAAATAGGTATCAGCTTAAGTTTCAATTTATCTGTAAAGGGCATGGACACACTTTCAGCTAAAATTTCAAAATTTCCATTTTTTACAAATATTCAACGAGGGTCTTTCAAATGAGCATCAAAGTTTGAAAGTCAGTTGTCGAGATACAAGACAGCGTTAGAGCTTCAAACCTTATGTAAACAAGGTTTGTGTCATGTTTTAGTTTCAAAAGGTTATTATACTAATATATGTTCGTTCAAAGTAGATATTTTTTTAAAGTTAATTTTAAATACGATTCGACAGTTTCTATTGATTTGCTGAATTTCATTTTGTTATAAATATGATATTTTCTGTATGTAAACAAAAACAAGGCACAAGTATGGAACGCCGTCACTGCCTTATAGGAGAACACAACTATTGCATTCTGTCAGCCTTCCATTACATTATGTCAACTCTTTATGACATTAACCCACACAACAATTGCATTGCGTCAACCTTCCATTACATTATGTCAACTCTTTATGACATTAACCCACACAACTATTGCATTGTGTCAACCTTC